TAACTTTTGAAAATGTTCCGGAAGGTCTGACACTTTTATATATATCTTAAATTAAAGCTTATGTAATATCCTTTAATTTGAAAAAAAAAAATTTGACCTCTGGACTTGTCTTCGTGGTGAAAGTTGACATCAAAGTTAATAAAAAATTACGATTTTTGTAAAATAATTTTTTTTTATATTTTTAACTTAATAATCCTCTAACTTTTTCAAAAATGAACATATCAATATAATTCTTTTTTATATAGATGTTTGATGTCTTTACTTATCATTTGGTATATTTTTTTTGTAAATCTGACACTTAACCTGCCCACAGGGGGGGATTTAAAATGACAACTTTTTCACAAAAAATTTACTTTTTCAACATAACTTTTGAAAATGTTCCGGAAGGTCTGACACTTTTATATATATCTTAAATTAAAGCTAATGTAATATACTTTAATTTGAAAAAAAAAAATTTGACCTCTGGACTTTTCTTCGCGGCGAAAATGGCTACCGAATGCTATTTTCGTGTGATAATTCTCGATTTTATTATTCATATTATATTTAACTTTATAATGCTATAACTTATTGAAAAGTTTATGGATCCACACAATTTTTTTATGAGAAATAATTTTTTTTAATAAACCCTTTTTCATTCGACATACTTTATCTTAATCGAGATATTAAGGAACCAGCAAATCAAGTAGCTTTTGGAATAAAACACCAATTTTTTTAAAATTAAACACTATCTAAAGATTTGCATCGAAGCGTTTATTTTTGATAGTGATTTTAATCACTGTCAGATATCATTATACTTGATCCAACTATACCACGTCACAACTGTGCCGCGACCCCCCTGTGCTGGGTTTTTTTTTCATTACAGTTATTTCTTCAAAATTTTTGGTTAGTGTTTAAAATTTGTTTGTTTTTCAATTTTTTTCTAAACTATATTATTACTTACGAAAAATATTTTTTTTTTATGATTTATTTAAACAGGTGCGTTTCATTGGCATGCGTATATTAGAAATTTGAAAAAAGAAATATTCAGATTTATGTACAATTTTGTACAAACAAAATTAACTTTTGTACAACTCCCCAACCCCAAGAAAATAGTTTTTTTCTCATTGGGTACCAGCGTAACGTTACCCCAGCACCCGCATTTGTAAATTTTAAACTGAGGCCTGTCAAAACCAATCAGTGTTATGTACAATTTTGTACAAAAAAAATTAATTTTTGTACAACCCCCCTACCCAAATAAAAAAGTATTTTTTCTCCGTGTGCCAGTGTAACGATACCCCAGCACCAGCATTTGTAAATTTTATGCTGAAAATTTATGTTGTTAAATAATTTAATGTGTTCAATCATTAAGAGTGCAATTTAATTTAAAAATTAGATACGAAATTATGTCAATAATTTTGTTTACATGGTGGCTAATTAGAAACCGTTAATTAGGTCTAAGTTTCCGAGAACTAAAGAATTGTATGTTAGATCAATAACCCTTTTGATTTATTGCAATACTTTAGAAAAAACAAAACGTATACTACAAGCAATTTTCAGAATAGCATATAACAAATTTGATGGTCCCCTTTTAGAAGTTGTCGATAACCGAACAGAAACAATGTGTGCTGCCAGTAAAAAATATTTACAAGAACTAATAGCTAATAAATCATCATATATAGAAGTGATTGATGAACATTTTTTGGATAATAGTATTGTTGAAGATGACATCAATGAAAGTGATGATATTGATAACGAAATGGACTGTAGTTTTATGTCTTGAACTGCTAAAATTGCAGAAAATTGCAAAAAAGAAGTGGAAATAATGGAAGATCAGTTTGATAATGCCCAATATTTGCTAAAATTAGTCCCAAATATTATTAATATAATGAAACTATTTCCACGCTGGTCGGGAATCATGAAAACAATTTTTTGATTTGATAAATCAACCATTTCTAGCGCTAGGGTCGAATGTAATTTTGACCATCTAAAAAATCAAGTTTTTAAAAATGAAAACTTTCCTGTAAGAGTTGACAGTTTTATCGAAAAATTAATTGATTATTATAAAGGTGATAATTTACTTTCAGAATAAATATTAATATCTGGGTTAGGAAAGATAATTATCAATAATACCTATTCAACAGATTCAATTTTGACAATGTTGGCTTGCTCTGTTGCAGACAGTGAAAATTATAATACATTTTTATTGAATTCAATAGAAAATTGTAAAACTACGCAATTAATTCAAAATAAGGTCAAAAAATCTCAAAAGCATTGAAATAAATATATAAACAGGTTATTAATTGTTTATAAATATTTAACGTATTATTAACGTAATATTACTATGAAAATAATCTAATTTTTTAGATTAAATTTTACTCTTAATGATCGAACACATTAAATTATTTAACAACATAAATTTTCAGCATAAAATTTACAAATTCTGGTGCTGGGGTAACGTTACGCTGGCACCCGGAGAAAAAATACATTTTTATTGGGGTAAGGGGGTTGTACAAAAATTAATTTTGTTTGTACAAATTTGTATTTAATATTGAATATTTTTTTTTCAAATTTCTAATATGCGAGTGCCAGTGTAACGCACCTTATTTAAACAGTACTTTTAGTTTAAAATATAAAATAATCATCAACTACATACTGAATACTCAAAAAAATGAACAAGTCAAATTTTTCAGTAAAAGTAGTATATTAGCTGTTTATAATTTCATCGCTATAAATATTCAAGAATATACAGCAATATAATTATTTTTTACTTTATTAATTATTTAAAAATCATCAAACATAAGTTTTATTAAATTTAATGAAGCATATAGTACAACAAAATTAACAATTTACAAAATTATGAGTTTTTTTTTATCTATCTTATTATTGTTATTACTTTTTTATGACTATATTGAATTACAATTTTTTGTTTTAATTATTAAAGAAGTACTGGATTTTATAAACTCGAGTAATTCGTAATGATGGTCAATGACAATTACCTAAAAATATGGAAAAGGGGGAAGTTATATTATTTTTATTAATTGTACAATTTTTTTTTAAACTTTTTTGGAAGTTTTTTTGTACTAACGGGATTTATTGAAAAAACTGTCAATAAAATAATGAATGTTTTCAATAAGAGGCAGTGTTGGGAAAGTTCCTTTTTAAATGGAACTCGTTCCGTTCCCCGTTCATTTTCTAAAATATGAACTCGTTCCAGATCCTAGTTCTTTATATTAAGAAGGAACTTGTTCCAGATCCAGTTCCTCCAAATAAGAACTCGTTCCACTCTTCGTTCCTTTTATGTAACCAAGTTATTTAAAAAATTGTGGTAATGAGATCATGATAACGGTCATCAATGATTTTCATCAGCAGTCGAATACAAAACAAATTTGTAGTATTCCTTATTTAAAAGTATTCGAAAATTATATTTATAAGCAGGTAGTAAATGCTAACGACTTGTGTCAACGCGACCAATGTCTATTGTCTACATATAAATTAGAAATAATAAATCAGAAAACCCAAAACCCATAACATATATTAGTTAACAAGAATCGACGATAATATTTGGTGCATTATTTAATATACAGAGTGTTCAGTAAGTCAGGAAACGGGTTTCTATTGTTCTCATTGTTTGTAACAATGAGAACAATAGAAACCCGTTTCCTGACTTACTGAACACCCTGTATATACACATATATTAAATATTTACTGTATACCTACATGTGATAATAACTCTATTTATAGTCAATTGATTCATTTAAACAGCCTACGATCTCGGCTGGGTATATAGGGGACTTCCATTGTCAAAAGTCAACTAAAAATACCTTAATATTTTAATGTCTAGATACGAAGAAAACTACACTAAAACATGTTTATAAAAAATTTTAGGAACTGTAATTTCCGTTCACGTTCCTTAAAAAATGGAATTTGTTCATTTTCCTCGTTCCTTTATTTTAAAAGGAAGCAGTTCCTAGCATCGTTCCTTCAAAAAGAACTCGTTCCAGGAATCCGTTCCTTTTGGAACCAGTTCCTTCTCAACACTGATAAGAGGGTATATCCTCATATCTCCCTCAAGATTTCCTTGACCATTGATGATTAATGTCTTTTATTATGAAATAAATTACAACTGTCAATTTTTTAATTCTTCTTTTAAGAACATTAAAAATGATAAATGTTACTAGTTGGGTTTGCTTGGAATGGCTAAAAAGAATGTTGTTCAATTTAGTTATTTTTCTGGATACTTGGGTTCTTCTCTAAAAAATTTAATTTTATAAGATAATATTGTTAATATTGTACATAATAACATATTTAATATAAATCATCGAAAATACCATCAAGTGAGTTGATATACGTGTTTATGGTGATTCATGACAATACTGTTTACATTATTACTATTATTAATTTATTTGAAAAATATCTAAAAAAATATATCTTTAAATGAACAAAAAAAGCTAGAACAATTGTTCAATAATGAAAAAAAATAGCAGACATTTTAAATGTAATATTAATAGATAACAGGGCTATGCAATATAATGATTTTTATAACTCATTAAAATTAAGTTAATTGAAAAAGGTTAACGAGTTGATAGTTTAAGTTAATCTATTATTTTTAGACATTAGTCCAACATTTCATTTTGAATAGCAAAAATGTATTGATTCAATTCCATTTTCTTATTACTTGAATAATTATTACCGAATAGCCAGATTAGTATTCAGGGAGAAAAATAGGGGCATATGATTCAGGTGTTGAAATTGTTTGGACCGTTTATGGCATATAACTATTTAAAAAAATATTATTAAACTGGTTTTCATTTGATGATTTGTATAAGATATTATAGTTTCAAAGTAATATTATTAAAAATAACTTTAACTGAGTGTAAGACAACTTCACAATGGTTGGTTGGTTCACATAAATGTGGAGAATTTGGTACTATCACACAATTATACAACATTATTACTACGTACATTGTATAAAAAATTATTACACTAATGTTTTTGAGTGGATGTGTTTTTATGTACACATTAAATGTCTAAATAAGTCTTGGCAAATAGCTAATTTGGTAGTTTTATACAAAGTCATTAGTTTTATAATTGTATAATTTCTCTACCTATATTTTAAACTATAATTTGATGCAGACGTTTTCAATAACACAAATATTTTTTTATTCTATAAAATTAAATATATTTAAACATCAACTAAATAACGTTTTCAATTAGACTTTTCGGATAATTTTTTCTTAACTAATACAGACACTATAGAATATGATAAATTCATGACCTGAAATTTAAAGTTTTAAATTACTTTCTGAACATTACAAAAAACTAATGAGTTTACACATAGTCTTTGAACAAATTGAATTATTATATCATTTTTAAATTCACTTGTGTTTTCAAAAAAAAAAAAAACATATTAGTATAAGCACGTAATCAAAATTCTATTTTTGAAAGGGATAGGGATCTAAAAGAAAATTTTAATCACCCACCACTATAGTATAAGTATGAAGTCATATCTATATTTTAATTTAAGGATTTTTCGCAAGTGGATAGTCTCCGGACTATTAAATTAATTTAATTTAAGGACTCCGGTGAATATGTGCCTGTTCTAGTATGGTTTCAATTATTTTTAATAAATAATAACTATAAAGAATATTATTAATTTTTCTCGAATATTTATTCTTATAAATATCCTTGAACTTTATAAATGGCAATACCCTAGAAAACATTTCAAAATTCAAGTATTGGGTTGGCGTTACTCTCATAACTATAAAATTGGCCTCGTTCATATTCATCGCCATCAGTAATGACTTCTTAAATTTGATATCTTTATTTGTCCAATTGCTACTATACATGGCGAAAGTCATTGCATTTTTCTAAAATACATCAATTTAAAGAATCCAGTGTTTATAATTTTTATAGACATTTGATTTTAAATTATAAATTATACAGTAAATAAAAATGTTTAACAATATTTTAGAAAACATTCATAACACTATATTTTGTATTTTTCTGTTTGGTAAAATTCAAACAAAACAACCAAAAGTGTACATAGTGTCTAAAAATACAGAGTGATTCCCTTATCATAAACTACTTAATTAATCGAAAATGAAAAATAATTCAATCATTTTTTTATTTGTTTCTTTTAGTTCAATGTTTCATTTTTTCAATTATTAAGTTTTTTTTATGTCCATTCCTTATATCTTATAAGGGCGTCAACTCTAATTTCTCAAATAGCAGCACCACTAATTAACTAGGTTTTAATGGATTATAATATAATAATGAAAATGAATAGTCGATAACATTATTTGGACCAGTATTTCGGACGTTATTCTCATTTTTACACTTAGGTGGGACGAAGAATACAACCGAGAAATGTTTAGTTATAAAAATTGAAAGAAATATTGAACTAAAAGAAACAAATAAAAAAATTATTAATATTATTTTTAATTTTCGTTGAATTAAGTGATTCATGATAAATGAATCACTCTGAATAAATTTTTTGATTTTTATTTTTTTCTGAAAATATTAAAATAAAAAAAAAATGTTTGGACAGTATCATTTACAAAATAACTTTTAAATACTAGATGATTTACTATATGAAATCCGTTTTAATTAAAATTTTTACACAAATTATAACGGATTGAATTCATTAAATTACAAAGTTTTACCTGATCGTCTAAATTTCCAAATGAGTGGCAGATAATATACAATCGTAATATATGAAAAAATGCAGTTAAAATTAACTTCATCAAGTTAAAAGAAAACAAGTTTCCCTCTATCATATAATTCTTTATAAATCATGAAAAAAATATTAAATAATTGTATAATATATTTTGTTTTTATCAAATTAATTAATAAATGATTACCAAAACCGACAAATATGTTGCCACTATAACTATATTCGAATTTATTCCCATTAGTATGATAGCTAGTGGTTTTATCAGTTCATAAAACTTCTCAATTTTTCTAGAATAAAATTATTTTCATTTATATTAGTTACAGATGGATAAAAATTATTCTTAAATTATTAAATATTTTGAAAAAAGTTTTTATCATGTCATGTCAAATGGCTTATCTTGGAGACTAATCTCAATCAAACCCAATCTCCTTCAACATGATTTTACTTTATAGTAAAAAGTAACATATTTTAGTAATTCAGAAGTGATAATAATTATTACCCTGTTTAAATACATGAGTTTGAAAAAAAAATCGGGAATTATAAATTTTATACCTCTTCTTTAAATTATTTTATATTACATTTCACATAATTTTTTGCGTAGTTAAATTTTTTTTTGTTTGCTCCGAATTCTGCCATTGTTTAATACTCTTCTGTTGTCAAAATTATTATTCACATACATATAAATTATATTTCGATAACTATTTTTATCACATAAATTTGTCAACATTGCATTAAAAATTAAAAATATGTTAACTTTGTTAATATTTCAATGTTATATCTTATAGTATAACGCTTTAATGTTGTCTGTTATCAAAATATCTTAAGACAGAACTTTTTAGAGCATTTATCTAATATGTACATCAAAGTACCCACATATCAGATAAATCGTCATAATTAAAATTCAATGTTTATCTATCTGAGAACACATTTAATACATTTTAATGCACTTTTAATTTTTATAACGCTCTCCTGAAAAATCAAGTTTTTTGGAATACAGTGTTGAATAGCGATTTGAATCTGTAATATTATGTTTTCACTCATAATATTAGAATATTATGAATTCACAAGATCGTCAAACAGAGTTCCCTTATTTAAAACATAAAATAATCAATAAACTAGGGAATTAAATGTGATTATTGTATAGATTTAAAGTAAGGCCTATATTTAGGTTCTCAATTAAGTCCAGCCAATCGCATTTAACAATTAATTACGATCTAGAGTTTCCAAGATCACACTAGGGATCGCTAAACTGCCTCGTCTACTATAAAACCCCATTTTTTCCTATTAAAACCAGTTTTTTGGGTGATTATAAAATATACAAAATCTGCGACACTCTACTCAATATTCTTACTCTCTGGGGCTTAATATTTTTTCTATTTAAATTTGGACTTGTAATATTTTTAAAGTGAATTTTGTTTTGTTGAATCTTTTATTTTAAATTTATTTTTCATTAAATAATGATGTTTTATTAGCTTCGATGCGAAGCGGAGAAGGTATTAATTTTACTATGATGTGTTTTTTTTTTTTTTTTTTTTTTTTTTTTTTTTTTT